AAATTTTAAGAAACAGTGGGGCAAAAGAAACAACAGCATAGTAGTGGGGAGCTCTGATGACTCCACAAACTGCTCATATTTCTCCCTCTGAGCTGCTGGTGGATTCAGTTACTCTGCTACTTACATAAAGTATAGTGGTTTGAACTCACCCAGAGATGTCACCCATCAAAGGCTTAGTGTTCTGTTTCTATAGTAATTGTAGCCAAAAAAATTCAATGAAACAGTTCTACTCTGTAACATGGGGTCACTGAAATAAAAATTAACTTGATGCCTAACAACAAGAAACTCAAATTCACTGCCAGTGGCTTGATTCAGCCTCATGACCGTCAGCCATCAGGTTTCTATGGGAGTGAACTGTAACAGGAGGAAACAGCCTCATCTTTCTCTGAGCAAACAGCTTGTGGCCTCGAACTACTAGCCTTTCAGTTGACAACCTAACGCTTAACCTACTAGCTTAAGACTATAACTTTGAGTATGTATTAAGCATCAAAAAAAATCCTCACACTTCCATCTGTTAAAAAAAATCATCATAAGTAGAGAAAGATTTCTCAAAGACTTCATTTAACTTGGGTCAACAGTCAGTGTCCATAAAAGCCCCAGTCAAGAAATCAAATGACATACTGCATTGGAGAAGTGTGCTGCCAAGAACCTCTTTAAGGTGCTAAAGGGTGTCACTTGAGTACTAACATGCGTCTGACAGAAGCCCTGGTCTTTTTAGTTGGAAATAGAAAAGGAATTTATGCTTTTGAATTGTGGTGTTTATTTGGAATACTAAATATACCACAGACTGTCTAAAGAATAAACAAATCTGTCTTGGAAAAAGGGCGGCCAGAAAGTCTCTTGGACGTGAAGATGCTGAGCTCTCACATGCTGTGAGCATATTATCAGGAAGGGGCCAATCTCTAGAGAAAGATAGCATGCTTGATAAAATAGAAGGCAAGCAAACGACGACTCTCGACAAGAGGAATTCCGCATTAGCACCAACAGTACACTTAAACAGGGCCGAATTTGTGAGGATGGCGCAAGAATGATTTGTTATTTAGAATACAGGATAGTCCATGAGTTAGACCCAACTCAATGTCATCTAATAATTCAACAAGTTTGTAATATTTCAGTTTATGTGAAATGGAATACGGTTAATTTACTTAAAAGTGTTCATGAATAAGTGAGCAAATATTAATAACAGTTGCATTGCTAACCTTAAGTTGAACCCAATGACAGCTCCATGGGAAAAAGACAGTCTCTTCTCATGATAGCTGTTGAAAACTCACTGAAGGATCAGCTATGATCCAACTTAACAGCAATGAAAGCTTTTTTAATGCCCAAAGTAACTGTTTATTTAAAATTAGTTTGTGACTGCTTATCTAAAAATACTGCCTTATAAAATCATCCACTCTGTAAATTCAATTATATTTTAAATAATCCTATATATATAATTAATTCAAATTCATATAATACAATTTTGTATGTAGCAAATTGGTATAAAAAAAAGAAGTTGATAAAAAATACCTTCCAGGACTCAGGCAACAAGAATTCCCACATAGTGCCAGAAATAGTGTCACTGTGATCATCCCAGAAAAAGCCAGACACCATGTGTCAGGAGAATTTAAAAAGGTCAATGTTATTTAACCCATTAACTTCAGTTCTAGAAATTACTCTTGCATAATTAAGATGCATCCAAGTGTTTATTTTCAAATTTGTTCATCACTGCTTTAAATTGCATAATACTAGTTTTTGTGAAGAATTTCGTGAAACAACATATGAGCAAGAGCCTATGGTGATGAAAGAAGAAGTTCGGGCTGCTTTGAAGGAAATGGCAAAAAATAATGCTCCAGGAATATATGGTATACCAATTGAAATATTTCAGTTAACAGATGCTGCCCTGGACGTGCTCACCAAGTGGTGCCAAGAAATCTGGAGGACGACCACTTGGCCAACTGACTGGAAGAGATCTATATTTGTTCCCATTCCAAAGAAAGGTGACCCAACAGAATGTGGAAGCTACAGAACAATCTCACTTATTTCACATGCAAGCCAAATTTTACTGAAGATTATCCAAAAACGACTGGACCAGCACATCAACAGAGAACTACCAGAAGTCCAGGCTGGTTTCAGAAGGGGTCGTGGTACTAGAGATACTGTAGCTGATGTTAGATGGATCTTGGCTGAAAGTAGGGAATACCAGAGGAATGTCTATCTGTGTTTCATTGACTATGCAAAGGCATTTCACTGTATATATCATAACAAACTATGGCTGACTCTGAGAAGAATGGGAATCCAAGAACACTTGATTGTTCTAATGCGAAACTTATACTTGAACCAGGAGGCAGTCGTCAGAACAGAGCAAGGGAACACTGCATGGTTCAAAATTGGGAAGGGCGTATGCCAGGGATGCATCCTATCTCCATACCTTTTCAACCTATATGCAGAACAGATTATCTGGGAGGCTGGGCTCTATGAGGAGAAATGTGGGGTCAAGATTGGTGGACGATTTATCAACAGTCTGCGTTATGCGGATGACACAACCCTGCTTGCTGAAACTGAAGAGGACCTGAAGTGCCTGCTGCAGAGTGTCAAGGACTGCAGCCTACAATATGGATTGAGGCTCAATGTCAAGAAGACAAAGATTCTCACCACTGGACCAATTGGCAGCATCAGGATGGATGATGAAGAGATTGAGATTGTTCACAGCTTTAGTTTGCTTGGCTCCACAGTCAACAGTCTTGGCACCAGCAGCCAGGAAATTAAAAGGCGCATTGCCATGGGAAAGTCTGCTGTTAGGGACCTCTCCAAAGTACTGAAGAGCAATGGTGTCTCTCTGGAGACTACGGTGTGTCTGATACAGGCCATGATCTTCGCAATCACTTGTTATGCATCAGAGAGTTGGACAATAACCAAGGAGGATAGAAGGAGAATTGATGCCTTTGAGCTGTGGTGCTGGAGAAGAGTATTGAGAATACCATGGACTGCTAGGAAAACAAACAGATTTGTCCTGGAAAGGGTAAAACCAGGTGTCTCCTTGGAGGCAAGGATTCTGAGGCTCCGTCTAACATACTTTGGACATGTAATGAGGAGAGACCAGTCGTTAGAGAGGGAGATCATGCTTGGTAGGGTGGCGGGACAGCGCAGGAGATGAAGGCCCTCTATGAGGTGGATTGATTCAGTGACTGGGATAATTGGGATGGGAGTGTCAGAGACAGTGTGATTGGCACAGGACAGAGCGGAGTTTAGGGCTGTTGTTCATAGGATCGCTATGAGTCACAAGCGACTCGACGGCACATAACAACTACAACAACAGTTGTTTATATGTTGTTGATGAGGCACTTGCATAAAAAAATTATATAGATAATAGTAACAGAGAAAATAGAGTTTCCAGCTATGGTCTTGGAATTTATTTACATAAGTAAATGAGGTCCACTTAGCTTGCTCACACTTGGAAGAATATATAGTCAGTTTCCTGACTCCAAATGGACAGTATGTTTTATTTGGGGAACCACTCAAAAAGTTGTAAATTGCAACCCAATTGGAACTCTTCAGGAGAAAGATTCATTCTTCTCTTATAAAGATTTGGAAACCCAATCAAGGGTCACCATACATTAGAACTGACTCCAAGACACTGGGTTTAGTTTGTGAGTTTGGTGGGCAACGAGACAGTCAATATCCTATACACTGACAGTACACTGCCTCTCAGATGAAAGCTCCACTTGTCCTCATATCAATGTACTGACTGTGACATCAAATCCAGAGCTGGAGTATTTAAAAGGGTGAATGTGACAGTGGTAGCCTCTGTGTCTCAGATTCCATTTTTAGGCCAATACTTTCTTTTTAAAATAAAGAATTTGAAAACCATTTTTTATGTAGATCATGAGACAGTTCACAAAGCTTTTCCACTGTACTTTTTTTTCCACTTGATTATAGAGGAGGCATGGCTTCATTGAAAAGGCACAGTTCAAATCTCAGAGTTCCCATGTTGGGTCATATTTACCTCAGGGTCTCAGTTCAGCATCTATACAACAATCATAAACAAATGATTTTTGTGAGGATTAAATGAGAGCCAAATTAAAACAGATAGATCAAGGTCAGGACATATACACCCTCAAGAAATACTATCACTGCACTAAGTCTCTTAATAGATTGTCTCAATAACTCTGTAAAGCAAACAGGAATGTGTGTTCATCTTGAAAGACTAGAAAGAAGCTTAAAAAATCACTCTCATTAAAGAATTGAGAAAATGAGGTTTCTGTCTTAAGATTCTAGTATTTAAGAACTGACTCTAACATTTTCCAAAACTTTCTCTTTTTTAAACTAAATGTAGAAAATCGAAGTATATGCATAGTTAGGAATAAATGCCAGTTTCCAGATTTTTGTGTGTGAGCTGGACTGGAAAATATTGTCAAACAATGGCTTTTCTTTTACCATACAAGCACAGACTTCATGATTGGGTTTCACATCTCCGGGAAGGAATTTTTTTAAAAAAGACTGTTTTGATATTTTAAATTCATAATATTGAGGGATGGCCAAGTAATGAATAAGTGGTAACTTTCCAAATGAAAGAGAGGACTGCACTGCAGCAGTTCTTGTGCCAAGAAATTGAGAAATTCAGCCATATGGAAAGAGTTTTCACTCTTCTGCTCTGCCCACTCCAATTCTAACTTAAACACTCACTTGTGTGTTTAAGTTCCTGTTACCTTGCTTCTGTCCACTCTATCTGTGTTTCTCTTCTACACGTATAATTAGAAGCACCAATTTAAAAAAATCATGCAGTGTAAGTGGTACATTACTTTATTAAAACAAATACATTCTGTACTGTGTTTTTCACAGGCCTTATTCACTAGTGGTCTCAAAAAAAAAAAAAAAAGTAATGACATTGTGGAATGAATGTGTGATCTGCTAGTTTTGAATCGATAAGTCCAGCACTAGTTCCTTCACGAAATCCATTGACCTCTGTGCTCTCTAATGTGTCTTTTCTCTTACAGAAAGCAGAGATTGCCATTGCCCCTCTGACAATCACTTTGGTTCGAGAGGAGGTCATTGATTTCTCTAAGCCCTTCATGAGTTTGGGGATATCTATCATGATCAAAAAGCCTCAGAAATCTAAACCGGGAGTGTTTTCCTTCTTGGACCCTTTGGCCTATGAGATCTGGATGTGCATAGTCTTTGCCTACATTGGTGTCAGCGTGGTCTTGTTCCTAGTCAGTAGGTTTAGCCCATATGAATGGCACACGGAAGAGCCTGAAGATGGCAAGGAAGGACCGAGTGACCAGCCTCCCAATGAGTTTGGCATCTTTAACAGCCTCTGGTTCTCCCTGGGTGCTTTCATGCAGCAGGGATGTGACATTTCACCCAGGTTAGTTTCAAAGTGTTCTTTGCCAATTTCCTGGTAAATCTCAGCTATGTGTAGAGTATCTCTCTATATGTTCTTTCCTGGGAGACAGAAAAGCCTTGAAAATGCCAAGAAGACTTGTAACTTCTACATTAATCCAATTGCATTCACAATCAATTGTATTTTCTAACTAGAAGCAAAATGTGAATACATTGTAAGGGTTAACTTTTTCAATAGACACATTACTTATACATCAGAGACTCCAGAATTATTTCACGTTAATGTTTCATTAAGAAGCTTGACAGATAGACTCTAAAATCTAAAGTATAAAAGCAGGAATACAATTTTATCTTATTTTCAAATACAAGCAGTTGTTTTATTACTGTTGTTCATTGTTAACCATTAAAACTTGAATTTGGTTGTCCTCTTATGTACCTAAAGGTAGATTACTGCTATGGAATCTATACAGTAGGTATCAGATATAATGCTGCAATTACAAAACAGGTAAAGAACCAACAATGATATTAGTTGTTTTATAGAGATTTTTCAGTATCCATGACCTCATCTTTCTCATCCTTCAGATAGCAAGAAAGTATTCCTTAGATTGCACAAAAACAACCAATCTATTATTGCACAGACACACACTCAAAGAAAAATATGTGAGGAAAAACATCACTCACAGAGAAAAAATAACTGAATGCAGAAGTTGAAGTTAATTATTGAATTAAACTATTCACATATATATGGATTTTTTTAAGGAAAGCATGATTTCTCAAAAAGGAAGAGATTTGGGGAAAATGCACTTTGTATTAAGAATCCAAGAAAAATGTTAATGTGTTTACATTTCCAGTAACTTAGGAATGAATCTCCATTAATTTTTGTCACTGATGAGTTGCGAAGTAACCTAAACAAATCAGGCAATGATTTCGAAATGTCAGGATTGAGCAACTAGTATGTAAATACCACATAAGCACTCTTTACATCACATGCTACTATTTACTATTTAGTATGTATATACGATATGGATACTATTTCCATCACATAGCACTATTTACACACACGGTTAATGAGGCCCAGAGTTTTTATTCTTTTTTTTATTTATTTTCAATTCTTCGCAATACATTTATGCTTATCCACATATCTGTGATAGTCAGAGAAAAGGAAATAAAGGGGAAAACAATCCTATAATAGCATGTAAAATGCCTTCAGTTTTTGTTCTATAAAAAAACTGTAACAGCCTTAATTTTTTGTTCTCTTATCACCTTTTCTCTGGTTATCACGGTTAGGCAGTTAACTATCTAATTACTTTGAAAATCTTGTGTCCAATTGTTTTTAACTCGAGGCACCATTTCATAATTTCCAAAGCACTCTCAAAATTTAAAAACTCCCTTCCTTTATGATGTAAATAGTACCCATTTGGTACTTACATACAATCCTGAGCCATAGTGACTTTGAAACCTATGCTAGATCTTCTTACTGCTCTTCCTCGCCTTTGCACATGCCCTTACATCCTGGCAGGACAATGAGCCAAGATTTCTTTTCCTTCTTCAGTCTCAGAAAGGTATCTAACAACTTAAATATAAGTTCCCTCCCATTGCTACACTGCATTTCTGCCCGTAAGAATGAAATGATGTTACCAGGTAAAGCATGGCTTGGTAGGTCCTACTCTCAACAGTTGTAGAATGCATCTGAATTTCAGATGTGCTTGAATATGATGAGAGCACTATGGGGACATAGTCCATATCCAGATGTGCCGCTAAGCCAAAGGTAACGCCTCTGCAGAGGTTCAAATCCACCAGCCTCTCTGTGAGAGGAGTTGAACAATTTCTTTCTGTGCCTTTTATAGCTTCAGAATCCCCACCGCAGTGTGGGCCTTGAGACAATTCTGACTAAGTGACAATGGGTTTGAGTTCTTGGTGTGTTTTTTAACAGGATGAGGAAAAGTAACACGATAACCATAGAATTAAGCCTATATTCTTCTGTAATTATAGAACAGCATTAAAATACCACATTTCTAACAATTAAAAAAAACAAAAGAACATAGTTCATATTTCCATTAAGACATTATTGAAGAAAAGGCATCAGATTGTTAAGAATTGCTGCAATCACTCTTGAGTGACGCTTCTTAAAATAAAGAATAAATGTCAGAAAATATACTAGACTGAAATTGCTGTTTTAAAACATACACAATGAATGGATGGTTCTTTCTTTCTCTCTGTTGGTGATAAAAAGGAGGCATGCATTACCTTATCCATGTTTAGATCCCTCTCAGGTCGAATTGTTGGAGGCGTTTGGTGGTTCTTCACACTCATCATCATCTCGTCTTACACTGCGAACCTCGCTGCTTTCCTGACTGTTGAGCGGATGGTCTCCCCAATAGAAAGTGCAGAAGACCTGGCCAAACAAACGGAAATTGCCTATGGAACATTGGATTCAGGATCAACAAAGGAATTCTTCAGAGTAAGTGAGGGAGAAACTAACTGTGGTGTGTTGATCATTTTTTGAGATTTGGGAAATGTCACAATTCCATCACTGGCTTTCGCTATTTTAACTTTTTCAAAGACAATATTAATGGTAGCTTTTATTAGTTTAATAAGACAGTGTTAGCTGTTAAATGTTAATACTTGAACTTTGAGCTTACCATCATTTTAGTCTGAGAAGGCTAATTGAGTCTTTCATGTTATAAAAAGGACCAGTGTAAAAGAAGAACAATAACAAACAAAATATATATATATATATATATATATATATATATATATATATATATATATATATATATACACACACACACACACACACACACATACACACACACACTAGGAGTAAGAATATAAAATTGAAGCAAGACTTAATTTTTAAAAAATAAATTTCATTTGCAGCATATGAAACTCCAATCCTTGATTGCTAGTTATGTTTCCTATATGAGTTATTTTATCATATAACCTGGTCTGTAAGAATTTCTTCTAAAACCAACATACTTGACTTCTCACAGGATCATGGTCGTAATGGTATTGAGATCTAGATAGCCTGTAAGATACTAGATAGTATTTCATGTATACTGATATCTCTGCTTTTCTTTCTTTGTTAATCTATTATATGGATGATTTTTTTTTCGCCTGTTAAATTTCTCCTCTGGTTTTGCTTACATCTATATATCTGGTAATATCAGGACCAAGATAAACAAACAGTTAAAGTGGTATTTTAAAAAATGTTTAACTAGGTAATAAGAAATGTGTATTCTACTTAATTAGTGGTAATGAATTGCACTGCCAATCAAAAGACATGCAGTTCAAATCCACCAGAAGGATGGGCCATCTTCCCCTGTGTGATTAACAGCCTCTGAAAACCCACTAGAGGGTCAGATATGAGTTGGTTCCAACTCAATGATACATAACAACAACAATTGTATTTCATTTCCGTTTCTTAAGGATTAGGAAAAAATAGGAGACTGGATACTTATTTCTATGTCTAAAGCTTTTACGTCAAAGTAAAAATAGTTCTATAAGTTTACGTTTTTATAAACTACTTGTAAAAATATTAAATATATAACCGTTGTTTTCTTCCTTAGCTTGGACACTAAAAACAACAAAATCTGGTCATATGCCAGTTTTAATTTTCATATACTTGAATTTCTGTAGAATATTCCCTTTTAAAAATAAAATTTCATTACAGCATCTTAAATTACTATCGGTGTTTTATATACTCCTAAATAAATAATAGATTATTTAAAAAACTAAGTCAAATCCAGTCTTAATAGAAACACTGTACAATTAACCAAGTCTTCTCAATGCTTTGGAGTATTATTGGTAAAATAATGTAAAATGTCTAAATTAATTAAAAGTATTCATAAACATCCTCAAACCTGTGATATTAAAAAAATATTTTTAAAAATAACATCCAGTTAATTAATTAATTTAAAATATTCCCTCCCCATATTGGGTGCATCCCAGCCTCTAAAGCTTAATAATAAAAGCATGTGACCCTTGTAGCCTAATTCTAGGATCTTGCTGAAAGTCTATATGCCCATAACTGCTTGCAGCTAAAAGTAAGTAGGTAAAGTTGAATAATTTTGTGTAAAAACCATTTTTCATAGACATCAAAATAGGAAATAAGTCAGTTATCACTTGCATTTTAATGAAATTGATGGTTGCTTTTCTTTGGAATAAAGAAAAGATTTGCTGAATGCTCATTCTACCTGGACTAATAAACGAAAAGAGAAATGGAATGTCCCAGAAAAGTAAATCTCAGACCAACTCATTGTTAGGCATTTACTACCAAGCAACATGAAAATATTTACTTCTAACCTTTAAAGACTATAAAAAAAAACCTCAGATTCTAAAAACTGGTACAGAAGATAAGAAAATATATTAATAACAAAACCAGGCATAAAAAATTGCTTCCAAAATTTTATAGATGCCCTCCAAACAATCAATACAATCCCCACCCCCTGTTTCCTTTATCTTGCATCCCGATTCTGTTTTACAACTGGAAGATTTTTATGAGTATAAATATTTATTGTCGCAGAACACTTCAAATAGTAATGGGACAAGAAAATCATTTTCTCTGGCCATGTATTCTCAGGCATGAATAATTTCAAATTCTCTGATAAAAATCTCATTCATTTCAAGCCTTCCTCCCTCCTCTTCCCACAGATGATGACCTGGTTTAAACAAACCATTTGTCTGACAGGTTGAGGAAACAGAACGTGAAGGGTATTTTTGTACTTGTCAAAAATGTTTTCTCATAGGAACACAGTATGGTACATCTGTCAACTCCACTAAGCTGCCTCAGGCAGTAGCCTAACTCAGCACTTCAAAAATGCTGTAGTTATAATCAGCTGGAAAAAGAATTAGACCTTGGGGAGGATATTATATCTAAATTCAATGGCTGTCTGAATTTTTGCCCCAATATAACATGGGATATGGTTCATGTTCTCAGTACCTTGTTATACATAAAAGTTGTTGTTGTTTATTGCTGTTTAATCAAGCACAACTCATCGTGATTTTATGAACAAAAGACCTGATACCTTTCTATAACTGTTGTCATTTCTCCAAGTTCATAGAGTTTCAATAGGCATGTGGTTTTAGGAAGTGGATGCCACTCCTGCTTCCAAACCTGTTTTAAACTGGAATATCCACCAAACACTGTCCACCTTGGGAAACTGTTACAGCATGTGACACCCCAATGGCACAAGGTTCAGCATCATAACAAACCCAGATTACCTCAGTACAGCTAATTGACAGAAGAGTGATGTACAACTTAGAAGAATGTTCCTCCAAAATATAACAATACTGGTCTCACTTAGCAGTGATTAAGTGTCATCAAGTCGAATCCACTCATAGTGACCCTATGAACAAAAGACCTGAGTCCTGTTTTATAATTAACTCAATGTTCATAGAGTTTCCAGAGGCATCTGGTTTAGGAAGTGGATGCCACTCCTGCTTCCAAAGCGGAATCAATCTAGAATCTCTTCCAAACACTGTCCTTGATGGGTAACCATTATGATATTTGACACAATTATGGCACAAGGTTCAGCATTACAGCAACTCCAAGCTACTTCTGTACTGCAAATAGACAGATGATGGCTGTACCACTTACAGAATGTTCATGTTATCATTAAGAAATTTGGCCCAAGGGCCCTACGGAATTTTAAAGACACAACCAACAATTACTGTTGACTATGATAAACCAAGTAGACCCTCTGCCTTTGGATCTCTGTTGGCTAAAACAGGCAAAAGTCCACCCAGCTGACACCAACTTATAGAGAGGGGGGAGAAAAACTAGTAACATAAACTTAATACTAACCAAAACCTTCCTTATGTGACCCTCATCAAGACGTGAGAAACCAACTAATTTCTAGAGTGGAACCACTGCACAGGAGGCTCCAGGCCAGCAGCAGACTTAACCCATCAATCTCTAGATAGATGATAAATGATAGATAGATAGATAGATAGATAGATAGATAGATAGATAGATGATAGATAGATAGATAGATAGATAGATAGATAGATAGATAGATAGAGATAAAATATTTCCTATTAGGATAATTAAGTGTAGTGTAAAGCTTTAAAAGTTGTTTTAAGTACTTTAAATCAAATAACTCTTCATGGACTAACATTTACAATAAAGAGCAAACATATAAACCCAAAAATAATTTTTTAATTTAAAAATAACCATTTTTATATAATGTTTATTTGCAGCCTTGGTTATCTTCACTCTCCAATCTTCATCTATGAGTAGATTTCACTACTGAACTTAAGGGTTCCATTTTCACTGTCCTCATGAATTTGTTAGGAGTCCTGGTAACTCAGTGTGTCAGTACTCAGCTGCTAACTGAAAATTCAGTGGTTCAAATCCACCAGCCATGCTACGGTAGAAATACGTGGCACACAACATCTAGCTAGAAAGTTAATATTTCTATTAGAAAACAAGGGCATACATTACTTAACAACCACATGTTTTGTATGGGAGAGTCAGAAACAACAGTGCCCTTCTCAAAGACAACTGGCCACTCATGCTGCTCTGAGAATGTGCCACTCTCCACAGTCAACAATCCATTTCCCACCTCAGGCTTCCATTCCAAGGGTTAACACCATCATTTGCCCTCTTCTGGTTATTATTTTGGGCCCCAACATTTTGTAAATCTCAATTATAACTGAACTAGTTTGAACGTGTTTGAGGTTCTATGTAAGCATTCACAGTTTTGGAAACCCTATAGGTTACTATATATCAGATTCTACTTGATAGCAATGGTGTCAATGAACTATGAGCTTGCAGAGTCTGTAAAAATGTCCTCATTTAATCTATTATATTCTATTTAGAAGTTTTTTCTTGCTCTCAATGCTTAGCAAACATCTTATTGAAGTTCCATATAAGACACAAGTCTTATAAAACTTAACTTTGAGACCTAACTACTCTTGATTTTTTTTCCCCTCATATCTAGGTCTTTATGACCATCCCCTAGATACGTCTCTTAATATCAGAATTTCTAACAGTCATATGGTGATAGTGGGAGAAGGATGTTCAGTCTCCTCCCATACGACTAACTACCTCTGAAAACCTGCTGGAGGGTCCTGCTATGGGTTGATAAACAATGCAAATATTTCTCTATATTAAAAGTCCTTTTCATCTTTTTTCTGCTGTCCACAGAATCTGTGTTTTAGCATTTTATTGTATCTAAAGCCTGATAAATTTGCCATAAATACAGAAAGTACTATGACTTTCAGATTTCAAAGGAATCAATTTAACATCTTTTATATACTCTTTTACACATAAGGTATACCTAAGTCAATATATATTTTTAAAAAATATATTTTTTCTACCAGTTTATAAAATTTGAATGCAAATTCGAACAAATTTTTTCAATTTCCCTCACCCCCCCATTAAATTGTACAACCTATACAATTTGTACTAAGTCAAAATATTTAAGTAAATCTAGGAGCCATGGTCTACATATTAATGTTACAGAAACATACTTTTAAACATGTCAGTTACTTCAAGATGCTCAATTCCTGTAACAAAATTAATCATGTGCTTTGATCATATACTGCATTCTGAAGTTAAGTTATAGAAATCATTACTAAGACCTTAAAAAACTCCTTTTCATTTTGCTCCCTATTCCTTTAAAAAGAACTACTGAAAAGTAACCAGAAAATTACCAAAACTACTTGGAAACATAAAGAAGTAAAAATAAAGCAATATGATGTCTTTTTTTATATAACTCAAGTACTGTAGTAAGAGGAACGTAATAAAGTTGAAACCATATCATATCTGGTCATTTTTAATTTTACCATGAAGATGATAAAAACGTACTTTAAACATTCAGCTCTTCCTGGCATCTCACATGAGGAATAAGATGAGTATGGTTATGCCTACGGGGAGAGCTAATATAAATTGATTCTCCTTCAATTATCTCTTTTATGTATGTGTCATTGTAGCAATTACTAGTTTTGAAAGGCTGTTGGTTTTTGTTGGTTTTTATTTTTCATTTGAAACAGCTGTTACTATGTGGCAGAGTGGAGTTAGAGGGCAATGGAAAGATACTGAAAGGTTTTTTATCTTGATCTTGCTTCCGTCAATATTAACATGTTGTTCCCTTCTTTCCTGTATTTAATTTTCTTTCGATTTCCTCCAGAGATCAAAAATAGCAGTGTACGAAAAGATGTGGACCTACATGCGATCAGCAGAGCCGTCAGTGTTCACTAGGACTACAGCTGAGGGAGTAGCCCGTGTCCGCAAATCCAAGGGCAAATTTGCCTTTCTCCTGGAATCCACTATGAATGAATACATTGAGCAGCGAAAGCCATGTGACACGATGAAAGTGGGAGGAAATCTGGATTCCAAAGGCTATGGAGTAGCAACGCCCAAGGGTTCCTCATTAAGGTGGGTGGAATAGTATAACAATATAACATGTGTTGTTATAGTATTCCACCTTCCCTGATGTCCCTGAGAGAATTCTTTTGTTTTGTGTGTGAACATGGTATGTTTGTTTGTTTGTTTTCTTTTTTTCCCCCCTCCATTTCATATTTTTTGGTCAACAATCAGGTAACTTTTTTTTTCATTATAGAATGATTAATTGTAGTTGGTATATATCTTTTAAGGCCATATAAAAACCAAACTGGTTGAACACTGGCTGTTTCCATGGGCCTAAAACACAGAGAGCTTATGCTTCTAGATCTCATTGACTTTTTAGCCACCAAAGCCTCCACTATCATTGTGTCAGTAACAGTTCTACGTTGTATCATTAAATTTTGTTTTTCCATAAGAACTAGCTACTAGTTTTTGAGGGAGAAGAAATCAATTTCTTTCTTTCTAGTAAACCACTTTCCTCCCTCCCCTTCCATTTCAGTGTTTCATTTATTATGACATTTTTCTATTTTGGATTATGCTGAGATTGTTTTGGTGCTAATTTTGAAGTCAATATCCATTTATAAGAACAATCATGACAAGATGGGGAAATAGGTTCTGGTTTTATGGTGCTTACTCAAGTCACACTCCCACCTATTTCAAAGGGAGTATGGTCTAAGTAAGATCTGTAAAATTAGACCCCTGAAAATCCCAAAACCCTGAAATGTGATTCACAAGCAAAGCGTTAAATAAGCGGCTAACAGTCTCCATGTACTGAAGGTGAAACTTTCTTGCTTAAGGAAATGTTGGTAAAATCTGCCCCTTTTACCTTCTTGGTCCTGGACATAGAGAATGCACATGTTTGTGTCCAGGAGGCAGAGTTTCCTGTTTTCCTTGAGTAATAAAGGCTGCTGTTGACTTGCTGGATCTAGAGCAAGAGTGAAGATGAAAGTGCTGACTGACAGGTTGCTCTGGTCCTGGTGCTGCCCAGGAGTGATGCACACAAAACACAGATTCAAGAAGAAAGCAGACTCTTTGCTAAAGGACTTGACCAAGAACCCTGGTCTTGAAAAATGATGCCTCTGGTAAGCCAGTGGGGGGGAATAAAAATAAAGGTAATGAGATCTGTTCTATAGCCCAGCATAAGTGGATGCAATATAAAGTCATAAGGTTTCTTTTATTGGTTTAAAACAGGGAACTGCAGTGCTTCTTGGTGGGGAGGAGATGCGAGGAAGGTAAAAACAAATGCCAGTATCTAAAAGGACTGTGTTAAACCAGTAGTGTGGGTTTGCAAGCAAGCTGGAAAAAATTAGCTGGAGATATTATGGTATGTGCCAAAGGGATAATCTTTAGAGGAGACAGAACTACTCAGTGATGGTACATCTGGGTGTAGACTATGGTGATTTTTAAATCGAGCTTTTCACCTAGATCATATGTGAAACTGGAAAAATGTGCAGGGCGAAAGTCCAAATAATAAGTCAACCATCCAAAAAAATCTGCTAGAAGAGATTCCACTTGTTCAGAAACTTATGCTGGCATTGAGATTTTTTTTTTATTTTAAGGGAGTATTTTGTTTGGAAAATATGTCACTTCAATGAGGCCAATTAACAAGTAAATCTCGAAGTAGTGGCTCTAAGAGCGCCTTATTGTAAACAATTTAAAGGAAATAGGGAGAGAGCAATGGTGTCTGATATGTGGATCGGTGTTCAGACTATTGATTACATTCACTGGGTGTTGCTGTTGCTCTTAATTAATTCTCTGTGGATGTCGCTGCCTTGTCCTCTGTCTTGTGTCTACTGATAAAGTCAAGTTCCAGGGACTGAATTTAGCCTTCAGATACGGGTGGGCCTGATTCCCATTGATGGCTAGAGTGCTCCCTCTTAAATGTGCCACTTTGTCAAATCCACACTACAGGGATTGTTTGGGGGGAAGCTGAAGGGCTTCATCTGTCTAGAGTTGTATAATAATCAGCCATTGGCTTCCTCCTCTTTTCCTGTCCTTCCCTGGATCTTGTTAATGAGGCAATTGTTAAACTCCACTTCCTGGATGGAGAGTTTGTTTATGTGCTTATTTAATACTCACCACAATTTCCTGAGCAAGCTGACCCCTGCATGCCAAAACCACAGTCATTTGTCCGGGCTTTCAGAACATTGGGAGGGCACAGGAGGGTAGCCAGCATCCACCTTGCTTCCTATCTCCTCACTCCCCTACTCCCAGCCCATCTAAGCAGGAAGTTAATTAGATTTAAATTCTCGTTCTTTTTTTCCTAGGACTCTTCTGTTTCAAAGGAGGTAAACTAATATAGAGATGAACTAATAGGCATGTTCTATATAAATGATGTATAGAAGCAAATTAAAAAATAACTGCATTCATTCATCAGAGCAAGATCCAGAGAACATTTCTGGATTGAGAGTGTCTGAATCCTTCTTGACTGGTTTTTGGAATAGGAACTGAGTTGAGGGGTGGAGGGTGTTGGGTCTTAAATTAATAGCTCTGGATATAGTGATACTTGCTAGTTTCACTGTCACTACCTTATTATTAGGGAGCTCCAGTGGCCTTTTCTATGGGAATAGTGCTGTTAAATCCCAGCTACTCAGTGGGAGAAAGATGGGTAGTCTCCCGTGCTATTTACAGCTTCTGAAACCCTCTGAGAGCCAACTATGAGTCAGTTCTGACTCAAGTTATAGATATCTGGTCATTAGCTGTGGCTTTCTAACACACTTTACTATCATGATTCATTAGACAGCTTGAGGCCGTAGTCATTCCTTCTATGAAAGTGTGACCAGAGAATGCAAGGAATGGGCAAGCAATATTCCACTGGTCTAGGGAGTTTTTAATCTGTAAGATTTGTGTTCTGACCTAAGTACATTAGAGTAAATGTCACTGAAAATATGATATATATAGCTCAGAGGCTGAGTCAGAACCTGGACTTTACCAAAGAATATGAAACAAAAGTAATCAAGATCATCAAACTCATGTTGTCTGGGACTTAGCTAAAAATATATTACAACAGTGATGACTTATATCAATCTATCTAGTAGAAAATTATAAAAAGGGATCTTTATTGTTCGTAAGGATTTTTTTTCAGGCTAACTTTTCAATAGGACATAAAAATCAAAATGTTTAAGGCATTAACAGCTCTCAATTGTTGTTGTTGTTTTTATGTGTCATTGAGTCAACTACAACTCATAGCAGTCCTATGAGTAATCATTCTGAACCTTGCCTTACACTGAGCCAATGTCACTGTCTCTGACACACTTGCCCCCATTGCCACAGTCACTATGTCAATCTAACTCATCCAGAGTCTTCATCTCCTGCACTGACATCCACCCTTCCAAGCATGATGTCCTTCTCCAAGGACTGGGCCCTCCTGGCCACGTGCCCAAAGGATGTCAGATGGAGCTTCAAAATCCATGCCTCTAAGGAGTAACCTGGTTTCACCCTCTCCAGCACAGATCCACTTGGGTTTTTTGGCTGTTCATGGTATGTTAAACACTGTTCTTGAGCACCACAATTCAAAGGCTTCAATTCTTCTTCTGCCATCCTTAGTCTTTGTCCAGCTCTCAGATGCATTAAAAAAAAAAGAGTGGATAAATAAAGTATACTGCATTGAAAAAAAAAAGACCTGGATCAGGCACACCTTACAGAAGAGCAAATTTAATATCCAGAAATTATTAATTCATAGTACTATAACATATCTTACTCAATTTTTAGGTGACAAAAATATGTCAGGCATATTGGTTCTGTTCAAATTATTACCCATACTTATTACCATTGATTTGGGAGGGACACATAGCAACCCTTCCCTCATGTTTCCCAGACTGTAAATCACAAGGGAGGAGATTGCTCATCTTTCTCCAAGAGCCACTGGTGGATAGACATGGTCTTTAAGTCAGCAGTACAAATCTCTACAATTATGTATACAGAGAAACTACATATCAAAGAGTTAACTCTTGCTCTTTATTTTTCAAAGTCATCTTCTAAATATTACTTTCAGGTCTTATTGTGAGATAAATGGGGGAAATGTCATCCTTTATATTATCTCCCAACTGTCTCAAGGACTTGGTATTTCTCCTGAAGCTTCCTTTCCAAAAGCACAATGTTGTTTACATTTCTGTCAATGGCACAGCCTTCACTCTTCTCCAGTACTCCTGATGATCCACGACAGTTGTGAAAGCCTTTAATAGGCTGAGAAATTTTTTAAGCTTGTTTTAAAATACAACACACACTTAAATTGCATTGCAAGGAACTATAAAAGTCAGATGGACGTATGCTGTATTTCTTTTGCTTTAACATCAGTGCTATCAGCTTGACATAGTATAGAATTTACTGTATGTTATAGTAGAGAACTCAGGTAGCAGAGATCTTGGGGAGTTGCACCAGAGACCCAAAGGATGTTCATCTCTGGAAGGTCAAAGCTACCAGCCACTCTGCAAGAGAAAGATGTGCAATTTCTTCCCAGGGAGTTACAGCCTTGGAAGCCCAATGGACGGTCAGCAATGAGTCTGTCCTGACTTGTTGACAATGAAAGGAGAAAAAGGATGTTCCAATAGACTGAATATTATAGATGGCTGATATAGAAGGAGCTTTGATGTGGAAGTGTGTGGCATGTTTTCCTGATAACCAAAATATTGGTAGTCTGAATCCACCAAGTGTTCCCCAGGAGAAAGATGGACAACCTCCTCTCCTAAATATCTGTTGTTGTGGTTACTGTGTACTGGTAAGTCAGAAACAAGTCATAGCTGACCTTCTAGTGGGTTTTCAGAGGCAGTAAATTGCAAGATAGGAAACTTTTTTCTCCCCTAGAGCAGCTAGTGGATTCAAACCTCTGGTCTTTGGGTCAGCAGTGCTACACATTAGGCTACCAGAGAGCTCCATGGAGGGCTGCCATCAGTCAAAATCAGCTCAATGGCAGTAGAGTTATATATGACATATATGTTACATAAGTTAGATATGTGTATATGTTTACTGTACATTAGATAAAATTGATAAAGATCAGAATAAATTAATTTTGGTTAATACCGATTTCCTAGAAA